GGAAGATTATTATTATGCATCAGAAAAATATATGGATTCTGGAGACTGACACTGACTTAAGTTATAATTATATCTGTTATTTTTAGCTTGTGTAAATTTAGACAGATTATTTACTCTGTATTCTGTAATATGAAACCTCTAATATCTGCCTTATAATATTGCTTTGAGAACTAAATGTCTGCAAAAGGAATTGTACATACTTAACCATATTGTGGCTAACCAGAAAACCCATTTCTATTATTATTATTATTATTATATTAACGTATTTTATACAATTTGGAGTCATCAAAAGCAAAGATGAAGAGTGAAGATGATGAGGATCAAGTAGGAAAACAGGGTGAACTTTCATCAAGGAAAAATTGTAAGACAGCATCTCCATGTGGTGCTCAGTCATTTACAGAGAATGGTGGAGTGTGGGCAGAGATCTCCATAATGCTTACTCAGGTTTTTAAGGTGAAAGATAAAACTCATCAATAAAGGTAGCACAGGGCAATACTACAGATTATGTAACTGAGACTGGTCTCTTTTCCCACGCGTGGTCAGTGTGCCAAGAGATATGCTGTCAGGTACTGCACGACTCAATGTCATAAGTGAGAGAATTCGGTTGCATAAAATGTGTAAAGAGAGATAACTACACAAGACCCCATCCTCCAGCCTTGTCAGAGTTCATTTCCCGCCTCCATGCCACCAATTCTTCCTAATCAGAATCTAACTGCATCATTAAATACCACTGCTTTAATTTGCAGTTTTCTTTTTACATTTTTAGTCTTTTTAGTTCATTTTTTATTGAACTTTTGCAACTTCATATAAGAGTTCTTAATCATATTCAGACCCTTAGTAGTCATTGCCCCTTTGAAACTCTGCAAGACTTCATTTAGTTCAAATTGTGTCTTCCAAGTGAAGGCTTTCCGAGCTCCCCAGACAGTAGTAATCAATATCTACCCTGGATTCTCACTATTCTCATATTCTAGAGTGATGTTTATTACATATGATTATAATTGTTTGTCTATTCCTTTGCAAAATAACTCAAATGTGAATTTGTCTTGGTGATTCTTAGTACTTGCAAGTATATGGCTAACAGGGTTAAAATGTATCAGGGAAATATGAAAGACAGGGTCAGTGAGTGGGAATTCAACTTTCTGTGTTTGGTTTTATTGAGCTAGGTCTCACTATGCAGCCATGCAGGCTTTGGATTCACGATCCCCCTGCCTCAGCTCCCGAGTGTTGGGATTACAAGCATCTGCTACTATACCTGGCACGAATACACATTTTTAATATGACAGACTTGGATATTGCCAGTGACATAGAAAGTAAAAGTAAAAGTATAGAAAGCAATGTGGGATTTGTAGACAGAGAAATATGATCAGTAAAGAACATGAAGATTATTTTAGAAAAACGTGATTGACCAATTCAACTTTTAAATTTGTAGAAAATGATTCAGATAAGAACATCCATCATCAAGAAGTTATTTTAAGATTCTTTTTGAAGTGCTGGAGATTGAACCCAGGACCTCACACACACCAGCCAAATGCTCAGTCAAGATGCCACATCCCTAGCTTGTGAATTTTTAACTAACTCAACAGCTCCAATCTCTCATAATCAGACCACTGAAAAACAAATATGACCAACCAATGGTCTGTGTGTGATCAGGTCTCTCTGTTTACTTCTATGATGTCATTCCTCCCCTTTGCTCACTGTGCTCCGACCACACAGGACTCTTTGTCTTTCTGCATTCTGTGGTTCACTCTAAGGTTTTTAAACTTCCTCCATTTTGTCTACAAATCCCATTCATCAGGAAGCTAGATGGCTCATGCTTTCCCCTTCTTCATGGCTTCTCAATGAGGCCTGTTGATATGGTACCATTGTGTTTAAAATATCAGCCTGTTCCCACTGCCTCTACTCCTGCTTTTCCTTACCTTTTATTTATTTTTTGTTGTACAGCTTATATATTCCTACCTTTAAATACTTGGTGTATTTATTGTTTATGGCCTGTTCCCATTTTTTTTGTTTTGATTTTGTTAACTGAGATATTTCAAGTTCCAGAAGGATGTTTGTCACATAGTAGCTGTTCAATAAATACTTGTAGAAGGGCTAGATTTTTATATAGAAAGAGACGTGATATTTTATTAATTTCTTTAAATGTACTTTATTTCATCTACAAAATGGTAATAGTATAATCTTTTTCATTTATTTGTTTTTGAGAGAGGCCTGGCTGGCCTAGAACTCACTATGTAGACCAAGCTGGCCTAGAACTTGCTGTAGTATTTCTGTCTCAGTCTCCTGAGTCCTAGGTGCCATCTCACCTGGTCAAAATGTAGTGGTTGCATCTACTCAGTTGTGTGATGTTCCCAGCAGGGCTCAGCTATGCAGATTCAAGTAAGACAGAAGCCCTATTTATTTTAGGAAGTATTAGGTCCTTCCTCCGATGGATTACATGACCATGCATGTTTTGTGGTATAACTCATTATACTACAATGGCTTGCTTATTTGTTTACCTTCTGTCAAGTCTTCAAACAAATAAATCTGACCTGTTTTCACACACACACAGACACACACACAGACACACACACACACACACACACACACACGTAATTTAATATCCAGTGGGAGGTCAGGCCTCAAACACAGATTCAGTACTTCTCACTATCACAAATTATGCAATAATTTTTTTGTATTTAAGATTTCTTAATGTTTTTGGTATTGTAGTATCTGACCTTTCCACTAATAAGTGAATTCTTAGACACTTCAAGTTGCTTCAGGTCAGTAAGAAGTAAATCACGGAATAGAATTCAGTCTTTCAAGTGTCTCCTCCACTAACGGATGTTTTCCTCAGTGCTGGTGCACACTGTGAAGATTGGGATAGTTTCTCCATGCCAAGTCTCTTGTCTTGTTACAGTAATGGTTTCCATGATAACCTTAAAATCAAACATGGTTGAGTGTGTAGTCATTTATAAAAATTCCTTCATTGCCTTACTTTGTAATGGTTCAGAGTTAAGCTATATACTTCCTTATGCCTCACACCTCTTGAATGAAAAATGTTTCCTGAGAGAGCTGTTAATATTAATTAAAGGGTAATTATTTTTGGTAGAGAATAAAGTCAACTTTGAATTCTACTTTTATGTGGCTATTCTCCAATGCATAATGATCAGGTACTTTATTGGCAATTTGAGGGCTCTGGGCTAGAAATACTATAGAATCCAGAAATAATAAATTAACATTTAGAGCAATCCACATCTTATTTCCACTTCCCTTAGTTCTGTCTTTTTCTTTTGAGCTTTTATTTCCTTAAAAATTGTTTCCATTTTTCATTATTTTGTTTATGATTTTATGTCAACTGTCTCTACTCAGATTTCAGTTGTCTTCAGATCATGTTATGCTCTGGGAATCTCATGACCTTTCTGAATTACTACATCTTTTGAATCCCCTATTCCCCAAGCAGTTCCTAAGATGAAACTCATATTCAATTTAAAGTCAGAAATTTTAGAGGCAAAGAGTGCATAGAATTTATAAAGAGACACAATATTGAAATCTGAGCTTGTCTTTGAAAAAGCCATAGAGTAACTGCACAAATTAAGTTGGGGTTAATTAATGTGAGGTATAGGTACACACACATACATAACAAACACACATACACACACACGTGTGTGTGTGTGTATGTGTGTGTGTGTGTTTAGATAAAATCATCCCCCTTTACCCATGGTTCTACTTACTTATGACCAACTACATTATAAAATATTAAATGGAAATTACAGAAATAAATAATTCATAGGTTTTAAACTTTATCTTATTTGGAGTAGTATGATGAAATCTCCTGTCATCCTTATCACACGAATCATCACTATGTTCAACACAGGCATACTGTTACACAACACTAAATAAAGAAACAAAAAATATCATATGCCAAGTTTGCTAAGGTCTATGGTACACTAAGAAACTTTAATAGTAAAAGATACTACGAAAGGATGATACTAACTACATATATGTTTTGTCTCTCTATTTTTATTATGGTTCTATTTTTATTATTAGCTATGATTGTTGATGTCTTATTGTGTCTAAATTATAAATTTAAATTTGTGGTGTGTGTGTGTGTGTATGTGTGTGTGTATGTAAAGAAAAAAATAGTGTGTGCAGAAGGTGGTGCTAGCCAAAGTTTTGAGTATCTATTGCATATCCACACACATTCACATATATGTAATTCTCTACAAAGTATGTATAATGATTATTATTTGTATTAATATGAGCTACCAAAAAAGTCAAAATAGGTTTAAAATTCTAAAAGTAAATGTGTCATTTTAATCCATTGCGCTAAACAGAGGCAGAGAAGCATCACTAGAGCCTTCAAAAGGCGTCCAAAAGGGCAGAATCATACTTCTGACCAGGCGGGTTTTGATCTAGTAGCTGTGCTGTTTTTTTTTTGTTGTTTTTTTTTTTTTTCCCACCTTTTAATTCTCCCCCCCTCTTTCCCGCGCCCCTGGGCACTCCCTAGAATCTACCCCAGTCACACTGGTCTCTTCCTCTGGGTTTCAAATCTAGTAGCTGTGCTTTTTTTTTTTTGTTGTTTTTTTTTTTTCCCAGCCTTTAAACTTCCCCCACTCTCTGCACGGCCTGCTGGACCATCCTAGGAACTTACTCCAGTCACATGGTCTCCTGCCTCATAGCTGCTTCTAAAATCGGGGAAAATATACTAACAGAAAAAGTACTCCATCCTAGTATCATATGCAGACCTATTCCTGATCCAGATCCAAAGACGGAAACCCTGAATCTGACGTCATGATTCTGCTTCGGCGTTCTTGGCTGTGTGTTCTTTGTTTCAGGTGATCTCTGATTTTTCTGGAGAGGTCTTGTGGCTGTTCATGAATCCTACATCATACTCTAGGGCAGATGATGGAACTAGGGTAAAGTTTAATAATAAAGAATCTTGAGACCAAGGGCTGTTGTGGATCCCACTCTTCAATTTCGTGCTATTATCTTGAAATCATTTGTCTTTTCTTGATCCCACGATGTGGAAGGAAAACATCACCGACATCAGTGAATTCATCCTCATGGGCTTCCCTACGGCTCCCTGGCTGCAGATTGTGCTCTTCTTCATCTTCTTCATCACTTACCTGTTTGTGCTATTGGAGAACTCGATCATCATCCTCACTGTATGGGTCACTGGGTCCCTGCACAAGCCCATGTACTATTTTCTTGGCACTATGTCTTTCCTGGAGGCCTGGTATATATCAGTGTCTGTCCCTAAGATGCTGGCTGGATTCCTCCTTTACCCCAATACTATTTCCTTCCTGGGATGTATGACCCAGCTTTATTTCTTCATGGCCCTGGCCTGTACTGAATGTGTGCTTTTGGCCGCCATGGCCTATGATCGTTATGTGGCCATATGCTGGCCTCTTCGCTATCCACTCATGATGACGACAGGCTTTTGTGTTCAGTTGACCATCAGCTCCTGGGTGAGTGGCTTCACCGTCTCCATGGCAAAGGTGTACTTTATCTCTCGAGTTGCTTTCTGTGGCAATAACGTGCTGAATCATTTTTTCTGTGACGTGTCACCTATTCTTAAACTGGCTTGCATGAACTTAGCTGTGGCTGAGGCAGTGGACTTTGCCCTAGCCACCGTCATCCTTGTGTTTCCTCTCTCAGTCACAGTCCTTTCGTATGCCTTCATCATCTCTACCATCCTGCGCATTCCTTCAGCTACTGGACAGTGGAAGGCCTTCTCCACCTGTGCCTCTCATCTTACGGTGGTGGTCATCTTCTACGCAGCTGTGATCTTCGTGTATGTCAGACCTCGGGCCATTGCTTCATTTAATTCTAACAAATTGATCTCAGCCATCTACGCAGTCTTTACTCCCATGCTCAACCCTATCATTTACTGTCTGAGGAACAAGGAGGTCAAGGATGCCATCAGAAAAACCATCACAGGTGGTCAAGCCCTGTTCTTAAGAGATTCTTTTTGCTGAAGTGACTCAGACGTTTGTCATTTGACTTAACCTGGAAAAGCGTATTCACTGGTGGAAATTCTATAATTGCAAATGTACTGACTCAGTGGAAAAATTTAAAGACATGGAACCAGAGATCAAAAAGAATCTTCTTTTCTGTTGGGTTTTAATGAAATACTTTTATTAAAGCAGTAGATTAAGTTAAAACACATATACTGACAAAACAATTATAAAGTAATTTTATTTATTAAGAAAACCTATGAAAAATAGTTACTACTTATTTGGTGAGTCATTTTCATTTTAAATTACTTTAATCTTTGTCTTACCAGGGTGACAGAGAGGCCTCTGTGCAAAATTTCCAGAGTATGGCTATGGCCTATCATTGTTTTGAAGTGGGTTGAGAACTCACTCCTTTCATGGTCAGTGATAGTGCATTTTAGCTTTTGAAAATTTAGGGAGATGAGAGAAAATTCCTTTCCTGGTGCAACAGGAGTTCTGTAGTGTTGCATGTGCATCACGACATGGTGGAGGAAAGCGAATGTAGGTCATTCCAATGGCTTCATGCTTTCATTCTCTTCCTTCGTTGGAATGTCTACATCAAAGTTTTCAGTTGAAATAGAGATCAAATTATAGGAAGGCAGTTCATTAAAGATCTTTCTTTTCAGATAAAGGAAGTCTTGGCATTGATAAGAGACCAAGTGATTTTGCTTAGATAACACTTGCTCTGGATGTGAAGAATTTCCCCAGCTTCTTCAGAACGTCCACGTTTGCATTTGTTATTCTTCTGATTTAGAAAAGGTAAATGTAAGATTCTACTGATTTATATACACTTTCATTTAGAAGTAATGAAATAATAGGAGAGAAATGGAGCCTGTCTCAGGAGGAATATTGAATGAGTGAATTAATGAAATACAACCTGCTAAGAGTTTTAAAATGACAGGTGTACTGTTTTATTCCAATGCTTTGGCAACATTTCGTGTACTTAAATTAGAGTGCTGATTTACTCATCTATGATTTGTTTTTATTTACTTGCTGTTACATGTCCTTATGTGTTTATAGTTATGTTTTATGACACCAGATGAGATTGTTTTTACTTTTAGATTAAAATGCTTTATAAAATGTGGTGATTTCTACTTTATCAATTTTTATTAGCTTCTCATGGCCTCCATTGCTTTTTGCATATTCTTCAGGTATACTAATATTTTATTTTTATATTTATTTGATACAAAGTTGATTATATACACAGCTATAGTTTTTATAAATATTGAATTATCTGGGCGTGGTAGCACACGCCTTTAATCCCAGCATTTGGATGTCTGTGAGTTCGAGGCCAGCCTGGTCTACATAGCGAGTTCCAGGCCAGCTGGGGCTACAGGGAGACCCTGTTTCAAAAAGACAGAAAAATATTGAATTGATCCCTTCACTATACCAAAATTCTCTGTGTCATTGTATAATCCTAACTATGAGGTCATTAAAATTTTAAGTATTTTTCATGTATTTATTTTGGCCTGGGGTCTGCCACATGCACATATGGAAGTTGGTTCTTTCTTTGTACCTTGTGGGTTCTGGAGATAGACTTGAAGTTGTCAAACTTAGAGCAAGGATCTTTGTTGACTATTCGGCTGTTTAATCAATATGTAATTAGTTGTCCCTGCTTTGTTTTGGTTTATATTTTCATGGAATATATTATATTAACTTCTTTTCAATGAGCGTGTGTCCTTAAAATTCAAATGGCTCTTATAGCTAGCATATAAAACTCAATTTTTTTCAATGTTTGAACATTTCATACTTGCAAATAATGCATTTTGATGAACTGTACCCCATCCCTCCCCTTTCCAATTCTTTCTACCATTTTTCCCCTTTCAAATTCATATTTATTAAAGACTCAAAGGGTCAAATTTGTGTCTCCAAATGTTCTTTGGTTTAGGTCCTTCACTGGAACCTGGTTAACTTGCTGAGTCTCATTCTTAAATGATAACAACTCTCCCCATTCCCAACAGCCATTGGTTGCCAATAGTTTCTCAGGTAGGGTTGGGGTTTCTTACCCTCTTCTCCACATTTTGGCTAGGATATTATCTGGCTTGAGTTTATGTGGGACTTGTGTATATTACCACCATTTCTGTGAGTTCATATAAGTCACTGCCCAGATGTCTAGAAAACTCTTTGTCTCTCTCTCCATATATATGTAATATATATTATAATATACTCTAACATATATAAAAGTATAGGAAATTGAGTGTTGGTTAATAAGGGATCTTCATTTAGGGGAGGACATTTAAATATTATCAAAATATATTGTATGAAATTTGCAAAAATCCAATAAAAAGTTATCTCAAAGTCCACTTAGTGCATGGTTTTAGCACCATCTACTGGAACAGGTGTAGCCTCTCAGAGTTCTCATCCTTTAAGAAAATTTACTCTCATGACTTACATAAGACCACTGGATGGGCTGACTAGACTCCAATGGATGCATGCAATTACACTGAAGGACATTTGGGTACAAACACCAGAATGAATAGGACTCAGCATGTATGGTAGAGTACATAAGGTTTGGTGGGGGATAGAGGGAAGCATGGATGGTAAAGCATGTCTGGATTTGAGAGGGAAATGTATGTAATTTCAAAAGCTCAAAAAAAAAAGAAAGAAAAACATAAAACTTACTCTCCGTCATCCAGAAGCTATCAATTGCCAATAACTCCTCAATTAGGGGTAGGACTTCATGAGGCACTCCCTCATCCATGCTGGGATTTTGGTTGGTTTGATCTTGTGGCTGTCCTCTGTATTAAGTTGAAACTGCTGTGAGTTCATGTGTGCAATGGTCCTATCATGTGCAGCAAATACTGTTTCTTTGCAGACATCCATTATCTCTGGCTTATACAATCTTACTACCCCCTCTTTCACAATGATCCCTGAGTCTTTGGGGGAGGAGGTGTGCCATAGATGCCCTGTTTAGAGCTGAACACTCCACAGTCGCTTATTCTCTGCATATTCATTATTTGAATTATTTGAGGCTCTCTGTACTAATTGCGATGTACTATACAGAAGCTTTGATGAGCTATACTTACGGGTATAAACGTATGAACTTAGGGGGAAGTTTATTACTATGCCCATTCAGTATAATAGTAATAATAATAATAATAATAATAGGTTCTCCCACAGAGTCTATGATCTAGCCAGCCATTGGCTTTGGACCCATTCAACAGTATCCGGCACAAGTTGCATCTTGTGGAATAGGCTTTAAATGCAATCAGAAATGGTTGGTTACTCCCATAACATTCATGCCCAGTGGAATTTCATTCATGTTGCACTAGTGGACACATTTTTCCATAGCAATGGCTATTGTAACATGCCAGGTTCAGAACTGGGTAAAACTATTAATTATTTTTCTTCTCTGCAGCATGCATAGAATCGTCCAATATTATAGAAGATATCCAGTTATGATGAAGCTTCCAGTTGAGTACTAGCTTGATTTCTCCATGCCCTATGAATCAAGCATATAATGTCTTCAGTAATAGAATGTTTACGTAAAGTTCTTGAGGGGATGTGGGAAGCGAGTGGGGCTGAGTCAGCCAAAGATGGCATCTTGGCTGGCTGCCAAGCCTCGTGACCCCAACCCTTGGCTGGTTGCCAAGCCTCGTGACCCTTGTGCAGCGTGTGTGTGTGTGTGTGTGTGTGTGTGTGTGTGCCCTGATTGGTCCTGGCTGGGAGGAGGGCTGTTGGGAACAAACTATATAAGGACTGAAGTGCGTAATAAAGAAGAAGAAGCCTGAACCTCACCTTGGTGTCTGTGTCGTCTTTCCTCGGCTCTGCTGGACCGAGTCGTGGCTTGTGACAAGGGTAACCAACAGCAACAGCAATATAGCCCTTATTGTTTGTGGGGAGTCTATAGGAATCCACTGACCAAAAACTCATGAAGAAATAACCCATACCTGGAACTTGACTTTTTACTTGACAACCTGTGGTGTCAGCGAGAAGCAGTTTTCTCCTGTTAAAGGATAACTACATTCAAATTCCTTTTATATCTGCAGATATGTCAGGAAGCTTCTAAAGTAACAGAGTTTAATATGGCATTTACAAAGGTTTTTAATTATCCTTCTCATGTTCCTCCTCTGCCCTTCCCTCCCATCCTACATCCAGTTTAAATATTCCTATTCCATTACCCTCCTTTTTCCCCTTCAATCCACCGGTATTCTTGGCCTTTCCGTTTAATGCCTCCATCACTCCTTACTAGCGTCCTGCATTCTGTGGGTATTCTAATGTAAACACAAAATGTAATCTATTTATGCTGAGGATATTATAGGTAGATAATTGGTAGATAAAGACTTTCTGCTGTCTGATAAATTTTTGGGGGTTTCTTTAGATTTCGTGCCTTCTATGTCCCGCTGTGATTAGATGATTATGTTAATGGTATATTTTGGCTTCTTTTATATCATTAGTGAATATACTGCAAGGTTTTTTGCATTGATTACCATGAAGTTTACATAAAATAGTTATAACATGCTGTTTTAAACTAATAACCACTTAATTTCCATCACATGTGAACCTGCACCATTTTAGATCACATATTCCCCCACATATTTTTGATGTTGCATTTTGCATTTTCATATTATTTATATAACTTAAGTTCTTGTAGTTCCTGAGTATTGTCTGATACATAAGCTCTCATGGAAAGACTATGACTCTGGGGTCCAGGGCACTAATGGCACCAGTTATGAGAGCACAGGGATTCCTGTGGTGAAGGTATTTTCTGTTATGAGCACTGTGATGCAGCTGAGCCCTTAGGTGTGGAAGTATGGATATACTCAGAAGTTAAAGCATGGTCTAGGGCATGGTTTAATGATAGAAGGAGAGCTGTTAACTAGAGCATGAGGACATGCTATAATGCACCTACAAAAAATTCCAGTAGCAATCCAAGAATCCTTTATCTATACTGCATAGTTGACTGATAAATTAGCTATTCACATCTCCACTATATCTTTGGACTTCTGTGTGGTTTGGTGACAATCCAAGGGACAAATGTT